ATGGAAAGTCCATCTATGGCTGGGTAACGAAGTCCATCTCTTGGGTGATGAAATACTCTGCAAGCAATATTTTGAACTGATGGGAGCCAGAACCTTATATGGGACTGAGGGCCAAGGAGCAACAGAGGGATGAAAATGGGGGGCTGGTTCCTTTAAGGGAAGGATTCCGAAGAAATGCATATAGAGTTGCTCAACGTTTTGTCTAACAGCAAGAGCTGGGACGTCTCTTGTCCATCTTGGACACATAGAGAGTAAAGGTCTACATGATCGCTGCCATCTCCCTTATGGCCATGGGAGAGAGACTGGACAATGTGGCATAATTCCTCTGATTATACCAAGTTTCAGCTTTAGGTTGGGATGTATACTGCCCTCAAAGCACTGTTTCTATCCACAGATTTTTGGGAAATCCGGAAGACTAGCTCCAGGCGTAGACAGATACCGTGTCTACAAGTGTCACCTGTATTGGTTCAGATAGATCACCCCCAAAATGTTCTGTTTAACCTTGGATTAATCCTTTTATATTATTCTTAAAATGAACCTCAATGAAATGCATTCAAATTCAAAACCAGTCCAAATATGTCACTCTTCATGTGTCAGAAATACTCTTTTCCTGTCTCTGTGGAGTTTTTTCCTGGCAACTTGAAAGAAAAAAATAAGTAAAAATAATAAGTAATAAGTAATAAGTAAAAAGCTGTCAAAATATTTCCAATGTTTCTGCTCTCTTGAATTTGTGTTTTTCAGAGCACCAGTCTGAAACTTTTCACCTGGCTCTCAGAAAGTGCTGCCCACGGTTTGAGGATGGGGAGGTAGCACAGCTCACAACATGGCCTGGCCCTAGGAGAGACCTCCAGCTCCTCATGCAGTGGCAGCTGGAGGTGACATTGCACTTGCATTTGCCCCAGATGGAGACATGAAGAAGGTCTTTCCTCTGGAGGCAACTCACTGGCTCTATTCCCTTCTCACCTGGTCCCTTCCAAGTATCTGCCCTTTGGGGGAGAAATTAGACGAGCAAGAACTGGCTTGGGGCTAAACCTAGTCTCTTTGCTGAGACTCTTGTAGGTGATGTCTGGAGAAGTCTTGTAGTCATGGGAATCGTTGTCTAGGAGGAAACTCCCATCAGGGCTGTCCAGGGGATTGATGCCCAGACCTCCAGGCTGGTCCTCATGTGGGGAGGTGGTTCTTCTCGGTGTGCACATCCCCAAGCGTGACTGATGTCTAAGGGCTCGGGAAGGTGGGTGGCCATGTAGGAGGACTGACATCAGCCAAGCTTTGGTGGCCTGCAGGATATGACAAGCTGCTCCCGGTGCCCGGGGACTGATGTGAGTTCAGCATCTGCTCTGTGCACGCACACTGTTTGAATCAGTTAGGAAAGGACGACTGTGCTCTTGCTGGAAACCCTTTTAAAAGGTCAGTTCTGGGAAACTCATGTAGTAAAATGTTCTTATTAAAATAAACTGCAAACCAAAGGCTCTAGAATTATGATTTTTTAAGGTAAAAGTATTAGGAAGATGATAAAGGATAAAGGAGGATGATAGGATTAACTACAGCCTGGCCAGCCTGACGTCAATGCCCAGCTGAATGCCAAAGAAGTTAATGGGAGATTTAGTCAATAAAGAATTAAAGGATGAGAATTAAATTAAATTAATGGCAATCAACATGGCTTTGTGGGAAATCGCTCCTGGCAAATGAACCTGATTTCATTTTCTGATGAGATACCAAGTCTGGTGAGTGTGATTGTACGTGTGTGTGTTGCACATGGGGTTATGCAAACAGTGTTCCTCCACCACTCTGCTTTCATGTAATGCAACATCTGTGAACTGCTGATGAAGTGGATGAGGAGTTGGGTAATTAAGAGACTGCAGAATGAAGCTGTCAGTGGACCATCAAATGGTGGTTTCTGCAGGGTTGTATGGACAGCACAAGGACTGGCTCTAGATTAAACACTATTCTGTGCTGCTTTCATGGGTTATTCCCAAATCAGTATTGCGGACGTATCACTGCATGAGGCAGGAAAAGCTGCATGTCAGATAATGATGGGAGAAGCAAACAGAGCAGTATGGGGCATACAAATAGGAGGGCAGGGAGAGTAGACCAGATATTCAGAACGGGGCACTGTGTCCTGCCAGAGACTCTGGAATACAAACTGGTGTTGCCTCACTCAGAGGTCAATGGGCTAGTGAAACTTTGCATGCATGAGAGAGAAATAGGGGGGGGCTTTCAAAAAAAAATGTGGAAATCTTGGAAACGTGTGTGTAAATGTGCAAAAAAAAAAAGTGGAACAGATGATTACTGGAGGTGAGAAATTTGCAGTGCTCAAGGTCTTCAAGGAACTGGGAATAGTTCCTTGGTTATAAGAATTTCATACCTTTATGCAATGCAAATAGTGTTCCATAAAGGCCTCTCTGGCCAAGTGCAGGAAGGTGGAGTAGGATGCTGTGGCTGGAGCAACCAAGCAATATTAGATGGGAAGAAAAGCACATGGCTAGAGCCATAGAAATGATCAGCACTTGAGACAAAGTGCCAAGGAAAGCAGCTTCTCCATCTCTGGATACCCACAAATCTGCACTAGTGGGACATTTTTAAGGAAAACCATGCTTTAGGGAACTCTATACTGGGCTTTGGAGAGGAAAAACAGGTATAACTTCACTGTTTGTGAAATGAACATCACCCAGGACAGTATTTTGCATTCTTAAGACTCTCAGCTTCATGGATGGATATGTGTGAGTATGGTAGTACCATTTTATGCATGCCTTCTTTGAATGAGCTGAGTAACGGCTGCCATGGAAAAATCAGTTTTTCTGGCTGCAGTTTCTCTCTTCTCGGTTTTTGCTGTGGACATGTTCATAGAGCAATATTCCATGGCTCCAGCCATTAGACTGATAAGCATGCTGCAAGTGACAGAGACAAAACAGTGTCTGCAAGGGGAAGCAGAAGGTAGCCCCATCTGAGGTATGAGAGGAACAGGACTTGCTGGTGATGTGTCCTCTGGAAAGAGATGAACAGAACATCAGTTTAATGCAATAAATTGTGGGATGTGTGAAAATTGCAGGGTGCAAACAGTTCTGTGATCAAACAGGTGATAACAAAAACTCCCACCCTTCTGTCAGTGTGTTTCAGGAAGCTGAGGTCCGGAGCAGGGAGCTGCCTTGTTTTACATGAGCTATGTCAGCGCCCAATCTCTCCAACATCAACTCTTTGCCTTTTCTTTTGGTGGGCATCCCTGGCCTGGAAACTCTCCACATTTGGATTTCCATCCCATTCTGCTTTATGTACATCATGACCTTGCTGGGAAATTGCTCAATCCTTCTCACTGTAAGGCTGGATGCAAGCCTCCATGAGCCTATGTACTATTTCATGTCCATGCTGGCTGCCATCGACCTCATCTTCCCAACTGCTGTGGTTCCCAAAATGCTGGGCATATTCTGGCTGGATGCAAGAGAAATTGCTTTTGAGGGTTGCTTCATCCAAATGTTTTTCATCCATACATTCACAGCAGTGGAGTCGGGGGTGCTCCTGGCCATGTCCTTTGATCGGTACGTAGCCATCTGCAATCCCCTGAGATACACCACCATCCTGACCACTTCAAGGACCACTCAGATAGGACTACTGTCTCTGGCTAGGGGCATTGCTGTCATGATCCCTTTGATGTGCCTTCTCACCAGCCTACCCTACTGCAAAACCAGAGTGATCCCTCACTCCTACTGTGAGCACATGGCCGTGGTGGAGCTGGCCTGCGCCGACCCATCCATCAGCAATCTCTACAGCATCATCATGGCAACACTCTTGGTGGGGTCAGATTCCATCTTCATCACTTTCTCCTATAGTATGATCCTCAGGTCTGTGTTAAGGCTGTCCAGGGAGGCACGTCTCAAGGCCCTCAGCACCTGTGGATCCCACATTGCCATCATCCTGCTCTTTTACATAGGTGGCCTCCTCTCCATGTACCTGCAGATGTTTTCCCTCGACTTGAATCCTCACACCCAAGTCTTGGTGGCTGATTTGTATTTGACAGTCCCTCCCATGCTTAACCCACTCATTTATGGCATAAAGACAAAGCAGATCCGTGAACAGATGGTTAAACTCATAGAGCAGTTGGTAGGACTCAGTATCTCACTTGCTGATAATGACAGGTCACCTACTGAGAGAGGGAGACTCTCTTAGAAGACAATTCGTCCCATCCTAGAATAGCGTGAAGTTAGATGAACTGAATTATCCTCCCAAAATATCCTTTTCTCTCCATGGACTGGAAAGGGAACCCTCACTACATGATGCACTTTGAGACGACACAGGTTTATTGAGAAGAATCCCATGGTTTGGTCCTGATGGCTGCTGGCAAGTGTCAATTTGTCCAAAGCACACACATTTTCTGAGATATCACATCCTCCCTGCAAACACCCGCACTTTCAAACACTTCTACAATAAAGTGTTTGGATCACCTGTGCTATAGACTCAGCCATCTGTGAAGTCTAATTTAATCTCAGAAGCATCCAGGTAGGCATTAATGCTGCTTTCAGAAAGGACTGATGACTGATCCACAGAGGGATTTTGGTTTCTGACTCTCTTGACCTCCTTGGAGGTTAGGCACTGGCATCCTTCTGAGGATGTGGATGTGGGAATAAGATTTCAAAGGCATTCAGATATTTCACACTCTACATTACTGGTACACAGTCACCTATCTGCTGCCTCCCAGAAAATCTTTCAGGGCCGTTCTGTGCTGCAGATGTCAGTGGGTGACATTCAGCAGCCCTGGTCATACTGAAGGATGGAGGGGCTGTGAGTCCTCAAAGTCACTGATGCTTCTGAAAACGTCACTGTATGTACGCGAGCTCTTATTCCCAGGAGGATCCCTTAAAACACCTATGTCAACGCTTTTACTTATTCATGTCTTTAAATCAACTGTAAATAAACTCCGGGGAAAGTCCCTTGTCCCACATGTGCTGTGTGCATGAGGCAGAGGGCAGTAGCCATAGTGAGAGCTAACAGAGAGCCGGAGCCCACCAAGAGGTGAGATCCCCTCTGAGAAATATATCACCCTGATCAACTCCTCCAGCACCACCTCTCTAGAGGACAGGACCATGAGCAGTTATGGGTGGCCATTTTGCAAATGGGCTGGTGGTGCTTGGGTCAGGATGAAGGTAGGAGGAGGTTCCTGGCAGCTGCTCTGCCTTGCATCCCTGCATGGGGTTTGCAGCCCTGATACCAGGCTCAAGAGACCTCAAGGGTGGGACTCAAGCTGAGCCACAGATCAGGAGATCACCAGCCAGGGTGCACCAGCAACACCGGTGCAACACTGAGGTGCAGAACAAGGCTGACAGGAAGGGGCAAGTGTTTCACACCAGTCCTTACAAAGGTTTTGGCTCTAGGACATGCAGAGACCATACCCGAGGGACCACCACAGCACCTTAGCTGGTTTCTTCCACCCATCCCTTCTGCATCACCGTGCCAGCAGTAATGGGAGGAGGGCAGGACAGAGAAGAGAGAAAATAGGCATTTTGGTGCAAAAACATGAATACTTGATGTTGGATTTTTTTATAACCCATGGAGTACATCTCCCTTGTGTCTTCATGCACCTCACTTATCAGGCAGGTGGTTTCCAGCAGTTCTCAGCAGGCAGGACCTTGTGTGCTGGAGCAGCAGGTTGGTGCCAGCCCTGGTTTCTGGGGTCTGTGCCTGGCACGTTGCAACAGCAGCAGGAGAAGGTCCACAGAAGTGCAGGGCCCCCAAGTTGACCACTCCTGCTGAGCTTATCCACCTGATGACCTGAGAGTTAAGACCCAAAGTGCTGCCCAGGTCATGAAGGCACTGCCATGGGGATAGGAAGCAGTGATATTTCAAAGATATTTAGAGGGAGATGGGAGAGGTGTCGAACACACACAACAGCTGGTACAGCAATTTCTGGGCTCTGCTTTGGGATCTTCCAGGAACTTCTGGGATCACCAGAGAATTTGCAGGAACCCTTCCAGGAACTTGGTGCCTGCTGCTGCCAGGACATGAGAGTCAGAAGAAGCCAGGACTCCCAACAAGCTCTGGAGGCTGCAGAGAGCTCTGAGAGCAGCTTGTGATCAAAGGGAGCTTGAAGCTTTTGCTCCAGCTGACCCTTGAGTAGAGAGGCCCAAGCACCATTTTGTCAGGTGCTCAGAAGGGACCTGAGCTCTGTATAAGAGCTGGACCAAGAGCAAAAGCTGACCCAAGGAAACCATAGGCTTTCTCTGTAACAGTGATGCCATGTTGCAGGCCACGTCGCAATCCCCAGTAACAGCTGGAGCATCTTTCCCTGTAACATGAGAGGCTTTGATCCAGCTTTAGAAGAACGATGAAGATCTCGGACTGTAGGGAGTCACTAGGGCATCTTGCTGGGGTGATGGGAGATGGTCTTCCACCTTTGGGTGCTGCGTGATTTGGGGAGAACTGTGTTGCTAAATAAAAGAGATGTGGGAAGAAGTGGGAATACTACACAGTATCAAAGATGATGGGAAAGAGATTGACTGGCTCCTCTCTAAGCTTCTGTGTAGCTTCAAGAGCCTGAGCCCCTCAGTATACTGAAGGAGGACAGGTGGTGTCTGTGCTTATCACGGTGGCAAGTGGAAACTCTCCATGATGGTGAAGGCTGGAAGTTTGTGATCTCTGGCACTAGGAGGAAGGCTCCTCTTTCCTCTGATGGCTTCCAGCTATCGAAAATGTTCAATGCCCTGGCAGCAAATGAGGAGCTGGGAGGTCTATTAAAAATATATATAACCTGTCCCAGCTGAATCTGAGCACCCAGGAGCAAGAGAAGAAAGCAGCAAGTGTTAGTGGTGGTAGATCCCTTGCTGTGGGGGATGGAGGTCCCATTCAATGCCATCTAGGGAGGTTTTCTGCTTTCTGGGGACTCAGCAGAAGAGGCTGCCCCAGGAACATCACACTCTCATTTGCAGAGGGTCTCTGTGTCCCACACACCAGCCAGACAAACGTGCCTCCATCATTATCATCATCATCATCATCATCATCATCATCATCATCATCATCATCATCATCATCCCTTGCAAAGCACATGGTATCCTGGTTCAGCCTGAAGCCCTGCGCGCTGCGTGGAAGGGCTACTCCATCTCCCCATCCTAGAGGATGTTTTTGGCCACCCTGGGCTCCAGTTTGGCTGCTGAGAGGGACCTAAGGTTCCTGAGCTGGGAAAGATGGAGCCGTCACTTGCCCACTATCAATCCCTGCAAATGTCCTGGCGCTGATGCCGTGCCAGGGAAGAGTAACGGAGCAGCAGGACCTCTGGGAAGCAGAAACCTTTAATGTGCTCAATCTGAGGGAGATTCTGCGTTGAGATTCTGCTCAATCTGAGGCAGAGCTGCCTTTGGACTGCATCCCGAGAAACTGCAGGTTTTGTGCCTGTGGCTGCCTCGTGCTTCCCTGGGAAGCCCCTCGGCAGTGGCGATGCCCCCAGATATGCACAAGGAGTAGCTTCTATCCAGACTAGGATGGTGCTCAGGGGGTGCGGGAAGACGGGCTGCTCTGGTCACACCAGCTCCATCTTCCACCCTGGGCACCACCAAGGTGCTACGGGATGGGGACCAGCCTGTGGTTTGTGAGGACCACGCAAGGCCCCTCCGGTCTCACCAGACGCTATGTTGGGTCAGGGAATAAGGTGGCTCCAAACGCTGCCGGTGCCAAGCCTGGGCCCACGGCTTAGTCCATGACCCCGTGTGATCACAGGGACGCGTGGCTCCCTTTGTGACACAGAGGGGCAATAGATCATCCCTTGTGACACACAGGGGAAAAGGTGGCCACCCTCTTTGTGATACAGCGAGGATAGACATGGTCTCACTTGTGGCACAGAGAAGACAACATGACTCCCTCTCCTTCTGACACAGTGGGGACAGACATGACCCCTTATGACATGGGGAGGACAACATGGCCCTCTGTGACACAGTGGGTACAGACACAACCCCCTTGTCACAGGGTGGGATAGTCATGGCCTCCCCCTTGTGACACAGAAGGAACGACACGCTCCTCCTCCCCGTTGTGATACTGCAAAGACAGACATGGCTCTACTTGTGACACTGTAGGGATGACATGGTGCCTCCTTGTGACATGGTGGGGACAATCATGGGCTCCCCATTGTGACAGTGAGGGCAAAAGGGCCCTCCTTCTTATTACACAGCAGGGACAACATAGCCACACTTGTGACATAGCATGGACAGACATCATGACAGTGGGGACAACATGTTCCCACTTATGACATGTTCCCACGATGGGAACAGACATGGTCCCACTTGTGACAATGGGGACAACAGGGCTGTCCTTGTGACTCTGTGGCCACTTTGTTGCAGTGACTGTGACTAGTCCCACCAAGAGCAAGTGCCAGCAGCTCCAGTGGGGCTTGACCAGGCCCCTCCAAGGCCACAGCCCATCCCCTCCACAGCCAACGCGGGGCCTCCCCAACCAGGCAGGCAGAGCACAGGGAAGGGAGGTGATATCAGGGGTGGCTTTAGCCCGGACCACATCCCTGGTCTCTTGATGCCTGCTTATATCACAGTCCTCAAGGACCTATGGCCTCAGCTTGGTCCTCTTGGTTCTTGCTTTCCGAAAGCCAAACTGGCCTCCAAGACTGAAGCTGGACAGACACTGAGCAGAACAGCCCAAAGTCCATCTGTGCACGTCTGGATCGCTCAGGTGGAGCTGGGGGTAAAACTTCCCCCATAGAAATGCACAATAACGATGGCTCCGGGGCAGGTTGCAGAGCGTAGTGCCTTCTGCCTGTTTCCTCTGATCTCTGGCTGCTTCCTCCTGCTGCACGTGTTATAGATGTTTTATAAAACCATCTACTCCTTGCAAAACATGAGCCTTGGCCAGATATTTGCAAGATAAATCTTGCCTGAACTAGAGAAGGTCTGCTAGAAAAATCACCCACTCTTGGTGTAGAGATTGCTGCTTTAGTATTTTGATGAGTTGCTCCAATTTGATGGCCACCCATGGTTAAAACTGCCAGAGGTTGCAGCCATCGAACATGGCCTGTTTAGCCTAAAGAAAAGAAGACTGAGAGGAGCTCTGATCAGTATGTATGGTCCGCTGCTAAAGGGGGTGGATGCCTTGGTGAGGGAAGATTCAGAGAAGGCAGAGTTACTAAATGCCTTCTTTGTTTCAGTCTTTACTCTTATCAATATGTACAAGCACCT